GGAAAATAATTAATCTTTGACCTGCTCCGGGCAGGCTTTTTAATGAAGACTTTAAAACAATCTTCAAAGTCGTCAGCAAGTTCGGATCAAGTTGGTAAAGCACCGCCCAAAAGTACATCCAGTCGAGGCGAGTTCTGTGATTCATCATGTAAATGGCACGTTCGGCCGGTGAAATCTTGTCTCCAGTAATTATAAACTGAATTCGGTTCACTAATAGAAGCATTGCCTGAAATTTGCACATCGATTAATTCAAAACCTTATAAAACTTTCTACATAATTAAATGTACATTAACAAATTTCGCGAGAACCAGTATCAAAGGATTTGACTATGATGAAGAACCTTCTAACTCAATGGTTGAAGCAAACAGGTCGAAATATTTTGTTATCGTCAAAAAAACGCATCAATTCCATTGTAGATACGATGTCATACGAAACGCTGGCTCCAAAACTGTCATGTTTTATCATTTTCATCATTCCTTGCCCAGACGTTTACAGACACCACTGATTCGATTTCTTAGCTTTAATGTGGAATGTAACTCATCTTTTTGTGCTTTATCGTGAATGCAGATAGTGAAGGAAAAGTCAAAGTGAAGGAAAAAAAGGAAAAAGAAGTGACCAAGAAACGATACTCGAAAACAACAGAGAAAGGGAAGAAGAAAACAAGTTGAAAATAGTTGAGAAGAGGGGGATAGATAAAAGGATGTTGGAGAAAGTAGTGAAGCGAGAGCAAAAAACGTAAACGAAAAAAATATATGAGAACTGAAGAAAGTAGAGAGTAAGAGAAGAAAAACGGATGAAGGAAACGTAGAAGAAAAAGGAGGAGATGTGGGAAAGAGGGTGAAGTTAAAGAAAAGGGAAAAAAGAAAATGGAAAGAAAAGACAAGGAGAAGCAGAGGGAGAACAGATAGAGGCAAAGAAAAGATATGTGAAAACCAAAATATGAGAAGCTAAAAGAAGACAAACAAAACGAAAAAATAGGAGGGAAAAAGAAAGGATCAGAGAAAGTGAACGATGAAGAACCAACAAAGAAAAAAGTATAAAAATGAGATGGAGAGGGAAGGGAAGGAAAGAAGAATTAAGGGGATAAAAAAGGAAGAGAAAAACGATGAAAAGAAGTCTTAGCACTTCTTTTAGACTTCTTTTAAAAATAAAACACGGTTCAGTTCGGAATCTAAGATATACAGAAAACTGAGGACGCTTCGAATGTCTCGAACGTTTAGACCTGTTTATCACAGAACCTTTTCATCTTTCTGTGATGGAGTGGCCCTTGACGCTGTTGGATTTGCTCAACAGTAAAGTGAAAGAGAGAGGCTTTGGAAAACCGTGTGGTTGGGTATTTCCGCAGACCCAGTCCCGTTTACAGCACTCTGTCTCTCTACAATTATCCATTATGTAGTAAGCTCTGAAAAAAACTCAAGATAGTGATAGACGAAATTCGGTGCACACTATTAATATTCCTGCCTGACACTAAAAAGTGTCATCTGCATCCTAACCGTGGTCATGAATCACTACTAATAATTATCGACCGAGGAAGATTCAATATAGAACGTTACTCAAAAGAAAGACTTAGTCCTATATCATAATGCTAGTTGTACTCAGGTTTAACTATATCAGCCTTAAATCAGTTCATTTTCCCTAAAAAAAATATTGTAACATTATGCGCAACTATGGTTTAAAATAACGAAATATGACAAATACAATTAATCAGCTCATCAAGCAAAGGAGAGGAACTTAGGGCAAGGTTGATTTCCCGTAAAGGTCAGCAACTGAAGCCTAAACTTCAGTAAATTTAGAAAAGTAATTACAAGGTGACAAAGTGGCAAGAAGTCGGCTTTAAACTCAGAAAGTGCCAGGTTGAAATGCCAAAAAAGGAACCATTTCTCTTAAACTCTAATTTACTCATACTGTTTTAGTTAACTACCAGATAAGCGTATAGCAAGTCGTTGACTTGACTTGCAAATACGAGAAACAGCATGGTATAGTGGTGCAGTCTCACCAAAATAGGCGTAAGGCATAACTGTGCTGTCTGACGCAAGCGCCTGTTAAGGGTGTCATTCACCGTGACCGATATATCT